TGCATCCTATAAACAACCAGACCATAAATATCTTCTGTATTTTGATAATTTAAAATTGATTTTTTCTTTATATAATCTTCTATTTGCAGATTTAATTTGTTCAGTGACCCACACTGAAATTTAATGGAGAGTTATTCTTCCTTTGGAACCAAAAGTCTATAATCAAGTTATCCGTATGATTTGGACGTTCTTCGGTTATAACCTCAAAACATGGGAATAAGAATATTTATCAAAATTTAAAAGTAATATTTGCTATGTATTTATTATAGCTACCGTTTTTGTTTGTTCGGTGACCTATAGTGAAATTTTCTGGAGAACATTTCTTTCATTGGGACCAACAAGCTACAATGTAGTGATCCCGCTGTTTTGGACTTATTTCAGATGTAACCCTTAAACAACAAGACCATAAGTCTTTTTTCTGAATTTTCATAATTTAAAATAGATTTTTTCTTTATATAATCGTTTGTTTGCATATTTCATTTGTTCAGAGACCCATAGTGAAATTTTATGAAGAATCATTCTTCCTTTGGAACCAAAAGCCTACAATCAAGTTATCTGGATGATTTGGACGTTCTTCGGTTATAACCTCAAAACATGGGAATAAAAATATTTATCAAAATTTAAAAGTAATATTTGCTATGTATTTATTATAGCTACCGATTTTGTTTGTTCGGTGACCTATAGTGAAATTTTCTGGAGAACATTTCTTCCATTGGGACCAACAACCTACAATAAAGTGATCCTGCAGTTTTAGACTTATTTCACATGCATCCTATAAACAACCAGACCATAAATATCTTCTGTATTTTGATAATCTAAAATTAAGTTTTTCTTTATATAATCTTTTGTTTTCAGATTTCATTTGTTCAGTGACCCATAGTGAAATTTTATGGAGAATCATTCTTCTTTTGGAACCAGCAACCTACAATCAAGTCATTCGGATGATTTGGACGTTATTCGTTTATAACCTCAAAAAATGAGAATACAAATATTTATCAAAATTTAAAAGTAATATTTGCTATGTTTTTATTCTAGCTAGCAATGTTTTTTGTTCGGTGACCCATAGTGAAATTTTATGAAGAATATTTCTTCCATTGGGACCAACAAGTTACAATGTAGTGATCCCGCAGTTTTGAACTTAATTCCTATGTAACCCTGCAAACAAGGAAATAAGTATTTTTCATATTTGTTGAAAATTTAAATTTGATGAAAACATTATATAATATTTGGTTTGGAAATTTCATTTGATCAGTAAACCATACTGAAATTTAATGGAGAATTATTCTTCCTTTGAAACCAAAAGTCTACAATCAAGTTATCCGGGTGATTTGGACCTTATTCGGTTATAACCTCAAAAAATGGGAATAAAAATATTTATCAAAATTTAAAAGTAATATTTGATTGGCATTTATTAAAGCTATCGATTTTATTTGTTCGGCGATCCATAGTGAAATTTCATGAAGAACATTTCTTCCATTGGGACCAACAAGCTACAATGTAGTGATCCTGCAGTTTTGGACTTGATCCCAATATAACCCTTAAACAGCATGAAAAAAGTATTCTTTAAGATGAAATAAAATCATTCATTATATAATCTTTTATTTGCAGATTTCATTTTATTCAGTGACCTTGTAGTGAAATTTTCTGGAGAACATTTCTTCCATTGGAACCAACAATCTACAATGAAGTTATCTGGTTGATTTCAACGTTATTCGTTTATAACCTCAAAACATTACAAAATATGTATTTTTAAAATTTTTTTCTGTATTTTGATAATTTAAAATTGATTTTTTCTTTATATAATCTTCTATTTGCAGATTTCACATGTTCAGTGACCCCTTGTGAAATTTAATGGAGAATTATTCTTCCTTCAGAACCAAAAGTCTAAAATCATGTTATCCGGATGATTCGGACCTTACTCGGATATAAACTCAAAACATAAAAATATTTATCAAAATTGAAAAGTAATATTTACTACGTATTTATTATAGCTACCGATTTTGTTTGTTTGGTGACCTATAGTGAAATTTTATGTAGAATTATTCTTCCTTTGGAACAAACAACCTATAACAAAGTGATCCTGCAGTTTTGGACTTGATCCAGATGTAACCCCTAAACAACAAGATAATAAGTATTTTTTTTATTTGATAATTTAAAATTGATTTTTTCTTTATATACTCTTCTAATTGCAGATTTTATTTGTTCAGTGACCCATAGTGAAATTTTATGGAGAATCATTCTTCAATTGGGACCAACAACTTACAATGAAGCTAGTCGGATGATTTGAACATTATTCTCTTATAACCTCAAACATGGAAATAAAAATATTTATCAAAATTTAAAAGTAATATTTGCTATGTATTTATTATAGCTACCGATTTTGTTTGTTCGGTGACCTATAGTGAAATTTTCTGGAGAACATTTCTTCTATTGGGACCAACAACCTACAATGTAGTGATCCTGCAGTTTTGGACTTAATTCCGGTGTAACTCTTAAACAACATGGATATGAGTATTTTTCATATATGTTGAAAATTAAAATTTGATGAAAACATTATATAATCTTTTGTTTGCAGATTTCATTTGTTCAGTGACCTATAGTAAAATTTGATGAAGAATCATTCTTCCTTTGGAACCAACAATCTACAATGAAGTTATCTGGATGATTTGAACGTTATTCGTTTATAGCCTCAAAACATTACAAAATATGTATTTTTAAAAATGTTAAAAGTTATATTTGCTTTGTATTTACTATAGCTATAGCTTTTATTTGTTCGGTGATCTCTGATGAAATTTTATGGAGAATCATTCTTCCTTTGGAACAAAAAAAAAATTTTCAATAATGGTAATATTTGCTTTATATTTCCTATAGTTCCCGATTTTATACGGTGATATATACTGAAATTAATATAGCGCATTTTATCTTTGAGAAGATATCCGTTTGAATTCGACATTATTCGGATATAACATTTACAAAGCACAAAAAAATATTTTTTATATATTTAAAATTTAAAAGTGCTATTTTCTTAATATATGATATACATAAGGACCTACTTTGTTTAGTAACCTATAATGAAATTTTATGCAGAATGTTTCTTTCATTGGTACGAAAAACCTACAATAAATATATCAGGATGAAATCGGCCTTATTCGAATATAACCTCTTTAAAGGAGAAAATAAAAATGTTTCACAAATTAAATTGGAAATTTCTTTGTATATATTATATATTATAGTTGCAGATTTCGATTGTTCAACGACTTATGTTGAAATTTAGTGGAGAACATATTTTCCATTGGGACCCACATCCTACAACCAAGTGATTCTGGTGTTTTCGACCCAATTCGGATGTAACCTTTCCTACTGTGAAATTTGATGGAGAAGCAAGATTTCGGCCAAATTCGGATATAAATGAAAAAATTAGTATTTGTCATATATTTAAAATATAAAACTAATATTTGCTTCGTATACCTTGTATCTACTTATTGTTTTTGTTCAGTGAATCATAGTAAAATTTGCTAGGAAACATTTTATTCCATTGAGACCAATGACCTACAAGAATTTTTTTATCATTGAAGCTGTTAATTTTTTTGTATTCATTTTTTTATTAATTTTGTTTTGTATTAAGTAAACCATAATATTTTTAAATATTAGTTTTCTTTGAATTTATGGTTCCCATTTCCCGTTTTATTATGACAAAAAAACGCTTAATTGATATCACTGTCCATAAATGTCCGTTAAAAATAACATCACCCATCACAAAGTTAGTTGGCAACGCCATTCAAACACTTGGCTTTAAGTAGTACCAAGTCGAATTGGTGATCCCTATTTTTCAAGTTATGTGTTCAAAACTGCATTTAAAAAAAAAATAAAAAATTTAGTACCAAAATTTGGACTTTATTAATTTTCAGAAAAAGTAAGGATACTTTTTGCTCCTAAATGTTAATCAAAAAAAAAAAAAACTTCGGCTTTAGAACATCTTCTTTATTGAGACGTACTTTTTAGTGCCCTTCAAGGAAGAACAAGTATTTAAATGGAAAATTGCTACTGGAAAAGGTCTTGGTACAATTTCTCTAGGAAAATATGAAGTACTAACAACCTTAGGTCTGTTCCAGAACCTGCAAGAATCTACTAAATAAATAAATAAAAAAATTGGAAGTGGATAATAATATAGCAGAAAATACTTTCTTTAGTGCCTAAATTTGGATTTTATTGACTTTCAGAAAAAGTAAATGTTAGTTTTCTCAAAAAAAAAAAAAAGAAAAAACTTCGGTTTTAGAACTTCATCTCTGTTGAGACGTACTTTTTAGTGCCTTTTAAGAAAGAGCAAGTATTTTAGTCAAAATTTTCTAACGAAAATAGGAGGTACTAAAAACCTTTGGTCTGTTCCAGAACCTGCAAGAATCTACTAAATTTGCTATTTTCTCCGGTAAACTGAACTGCAAGGATGTAAAAATTTTTACTGCGATAACTGATTTTCCCTTGATGGTGTCGAGAAAAATTGCAATAATAGTAGATTCTTGCAGGATCTGGAATAGAGCTTTTGTTATGTTAGTAAAAACTTTTACATTATTGCATTTCTGGAACAGACCACTTGTCTCTAGATTCCTCAAAACTACATATCTGTAAACAAATTGTGCCTCTAATAACAATTAAAATAATAAAATGAACTTCTTAGTACCTTATCAAAATATGTTCTGTTCCAAAACTGCTAAAACTTTGTAGTATGATAACCGATTTTCCCATTATTATATCGAAAAAAATTGCAAAATTAGTAGCATTAAAGCAAAAAAACTATTATGATTGTCAATTCTATTGATTATGTGCCAAAAAAATATATTTTTATGGCATATTCCTTAAGAAAGTTTCGTTTTAGTACCTATTCCGCCATTTAAGGGCTCTCTAGACTCGAAAACGATCGATAAGGCAACACCAAATATATCGATTATTCGATGTTGCATTAACCACAATTGACTCAAAAGTGAGTCGATAGTCGACCTATGTATTCCTATTTTCGTGTCGTCGTCGTGAGTGATTAGAGAAAAGTTTCTTACAATAAAATTTGCAAATAATAAGAATTTACAAAAAGTCCTTGCAGAAAATTATTAAATTTATCGAGCCTTTTGTGCAAATATTGCTCTGGCCAACAATTGGCAATTGTTTTCCAATTGGGAAAAATATTTCGTGTGTCCGCGAGAGAGAAAAAAAAACGCAAAAGGGCCATAAAGATTTCAAGAAAGGAGGAAACAAAGTGAGAAAGAAATGTATTGTGAAGTTCAGATTGTCCTGTAAAAGCCGGAAAAAACAAGAAAAGTGTGTGCGTGATTTGTGTTTCGATTTTCTTTAAGAAATTTATTCGTTTTGGAATTATTTAAATCGTCTTGAAAAAGCGGTGGCGGCAGCGGTTCTAAATCTGTGACATCTAAAGGTGAGTTATGTTTGTGGGCTGCTGCGCAGTTACTGCGATGTCGGCAAAGACTTTAATTTGTGCTAAGGGTGTTAAGGGATACAAACAAGCCAAGAAAAAAAAAACCGGACTGGACTCCAAGGCGGCTTTTTGTGTGTGGGGAAATATGTTTGTTTGCCAATCCTTGGTGTGACGAGCCCCCTTTTGCCCCATACAGCAAGCCGATTTTCAAGGGAGTTGGGGGCCCTCCCTCTCTTTGGCTGGAATTTAAACAGCTTCAATGTGTTTGTTGTTGGCTCGTGAGTTCCCAAAGCCCACCAAATTTTTATCAAATCGTGTGGGTTTAAAGTTTCATTTTTGCTCCCATACATTTTGCTTTTGGCCCCCACCACCATCGACGGCGTATGGTCGTATGGTGTAAACAAATCAATGTGGGTGTTTTACATACAACAACAACAACAGCAATAAATGCTAGTTTAAATATTTTAAAAATTACCAAATTGCAGCTTTTTTTAGGCCTTGCTCTACCTTTTCTTTCATTCATTCATTCATCTGTCGTCTTCTTTGTTTGCTTAGACGGGAAGGGACCCGCACCCCCTCTCTGTTTTCATTCTCACACTATATTTATTGTCCATACGCTTAACATAAATATCCAATAAAGTTTTCTTATTCATTCATTTATTGTTTGCCTTTGTTGTTGTTGCCTCGATTTGTATTGGGCTATTATTGTCTACAATTTCCACATTTTTTTTCCTCCTGTGTGTCTCCTTTTCTTTTCCGGGTGGGTGTGTTTGTGCGGCCGTTTCCAGGCCTCATTGTCAGCCCTTTTTTGCCAGTCGTTCTGTCCTTGTGTTTGGATTTCCTTGTATTTCCTGCGCCTGCCTGTGTTTTGGGAATTTCGTTTTTGTTTCCTCTTTTTTTTTTTTGCTTCATTTTGATTTTCATTCCTAAACAAAAAAAAAAAAAAAAAAAAAAAACAAGTTTGCCCAAAACCGCTAAAATGTTCTTGCTTCTTGTTCTGGAGAAATATTTTTATACCCTCCACCTTGGAAAGGAGGGTATGTTAAATTTGTCATTCCGTTTGTAACCCCTCTAAATATTCATCATAGACCCCATTAAGTTTATATATTCATGATCAGTATAAAATTCTAAATCGATTTAATGAGGTCCACGATACCTATAAAGTCTATATCGGGTAAGTGGATCGGGTCTTGAACACGGACTTTCTGTCGTCCCGGGTTCAACGCCCAAGAAAAAGAAATATTTTTCCGGGATCAGGGTAAAAATAACTATCTCTGGACAAAATTTCGAAAAAATCGAGGTGTTTTTACTAAATTAGAGACGGGGCAAGTCTGTCTGTCGAAATCACGTTACAGCTCACATTATTTGCCGTTGAGCTTTAAAATTTGGCACAATAGTTTGAATTATGTCTAGGATGGTTGACATTGAAAATGAGATATATCGGTCCGAGTTTTTGGATAGCATCCATACAAGGGTACCTCTCTATTTTCGGTATTTTGATAGTTTTAGTCACATATTTCCACCAATTTGTCTAAAAATTAATATTTGTAGTTTGTTATGGGTTCTAGCTCCAGTTGCGGAACATTGTACATATAGCTCCACATTTTCGTATAGCCCCCATATAAGGGTACCTCTCGATATTCGGTATTTTGATGATTTTAGGGACATCGTTCACCCGAATCGTTTCAAAATTTATATTTGAAGTTTGTAATGGGTTCTAGCTCCATTGGCGGAACATTGTACATATAGGTTCACGTTTTCGTATACCTTCCGTATGAGGGTACTTCCCGATATTCAGTATTTTGATGATTTTAGAGACATCTTCCACCCGAATTATTTCAAAATTTGTATTCGAAGTATGTAATGGGTTCTACAGTCTATGCCTAAAAATTTTTTATGCCTGTTCACGTCTTCGTATAGCCCTCATATACCGGTATATCCCTTTATTCGATATTTTGATGATTTTAGCGATATGATTTGCCGGAATTGTTTCAAATTTCGTATTTGAAGATCTTAATGGCTACTACAGCCTATGAAAAAAAAAAAAAAAAAAAAAATAACCAATGCATGCCCCTTCGCATATCTTCGTATAGCCCCCCTATAAAGATTATCATTTAAACGGTATTTTTCGGAATTTTTTTGAATATACCCTTCCTTCCTTCCAAATGTTAGGTTCGGGGGCCTTTTCAAACTTAGCTAGTAATAAAGGACTTGAGTCAAGTTTATGGCCCCTCAAGGATCAGCCTAAAATTTTCACCCTACTCTGCTCGTGGGGCCATTGGGTCTACTTTTCAGAAATAGTTGGGGCCTCTATTTTGATTTCATTTAAAACAAATGAATATAATATCGCGTACACATTTGCAGGACTCCTAAGAAATTAGAAGTTAGTATCATAAAATCGGCCCCGCCCGACTTTTAGACTGTCTTTACTGGTTTTGAATATAAAAATTATATTTTACACTTTTTTGAGGTTACAACTGATTAAGGCCGATTTCGACAGGATAACTTCGTCATCGGTATGTGGTCCCAATGGAAGAAAGATTCTCCATCAAATTTCACTATTGGTCACCGAACAAACGAAATCTGTAGCTATAATGCATACAAAGAAAAAATTAATTTTAAATTTTGAATATGTGAACAAATACTTATTTACGTGTTGTTAAAAGGTTACATCCGAATTAGGTCGAAAACACCGGAATCCCCTCAATGTAGATTATTGGCCCCAATGGAAGAAAGATTCTCCATCAAATTTCACTGTAGGTCACTGAACAAACCAAACCTGTATGTATTATATATTGGTGATTAGCAGAAAATTCTAACCGTACGTCTTTCTATCCATTGGTCCCCATTGTCCGTCTGCTGAAATCAAGATACAGCCCATATTTTTTAACTTAGAGCTTTGAAATTTGCCATGATGGTTGCCATTATTTCTAGGATGATTGGTATTGGAAATGAGACGAATCTACAAAAGTTTTCCCCTAGCCATCATATAATGGTACTTTCCGATATTCGGAATTTGGGGTATTTTAACCACATTTTCCAATGTATTTGTTTAAAATTCGGTATTTGGGCTTCATAATGACCACTTTTCCCTCAGGCAGAAAAATATCTATATAGGTCCAGGTTTTCCTATAACTTCCATGTAACATTACTTCTTGATATTCAGTTTTTTGATAATTTAACATGTTTTTTTTACGGAGTGGTTTTAACTTTTGTATCTGGTCTGTTTAGTGGATTCCAATGTATCATATAATAAGTGATCTGTTAATGTATTCTTCAAGTCCCCCTAGAAAGGTACCTCCCGATATTCGATATTTTAATGAAGTAGCCATATTTTTTGAAATTTAGTATTCGGTTTTCCTAATGCCTTCTCTTTCCTCTGGCAGTAAAGTTTCTTTTTAAATCCATGTTTTCCTATAGAGCCCCCCCCATGAAACGGTACTTCTTGATACTCAGTATTTTGATGATTTAAGATAATTTTGGTTTTTTTTCGGAGTTGGCTTAAATTTCGTATTTAGAGTCTTTAATGGCCTATCAGGCAATAAGTGGTCCGTTAATGTATTCACATAGTCCCCATAGAAAGGTACCTCCCGATATTCCTTTATTTTAATGACTGTAGCCATATTTCTCAACGGAATTGTTTGAAATTTGGTATTTAGACTTCCTAGTGGCCTCTATTTCCTCTGGCAGTAAAGTTTCTATTTAAATCTACGTTTTCCTATAGAGGCCCCATGAAACGGTATTTCTTGATATTCAGTATTTTGACGATTTAAGATAATTTTGTTTATTTTTTTACGGAGTTGGCTTAAATTTCGTATTTAGAGTCTTTAATGGATTTCAACGTATCAGGCAATAAGTGGTCCGTTAATGTATTCTTATAGTCCCCATAGAAAGGTACCTCCCGATATTCGGTATTTAAATGACTGTAGCCATATTTTCCAAAGGAATTTTTTGAAATTTGGTATTTGGACTTCCTAATGGCCCCTAGCAGAAACGTTTTTGGTTTCTTTAGTGAATTCTAACCATTCAGGCAATAAGTGGTCGGTATAGGTTAAAAGGTACCTCCCGATATTTGGTATTTTAACGACTGTAGCAATATTTTTCATTGGAATTTTTTGAAATTGGGTATTCGGACTTCCTAATGGCCTCTATTTTCTCTGGCAGAAACGTATTTAGAGTCTTTAGTGAATTCTAACCATTCAGGCAATAAGTGGTCCATTAATGTATTCTTATAGCCCCCATAGACAGGTACCTCCCGATATTCGATATTTTAATGAATGTAGCCATATTTCTCAACGGAATTGTTTGAAATTTGGTATTCGGACTTCCTAATGGCCTCCAGCAGAAACGTATTTGGTGTCTTTAGTGAATTCTAACCATTCGGGCAATAAGTGGTCGGTATAGGTTAAAAGGTACCTCCCGATATTCGGTATTTTAATGACTGTAGACATATTTTCCAACGGAATTGTTTGACATTTAATATTCGGGTTTCCTAATGGCCTCTATTTTCTCTAGCAGAAACGTATTTAGAGTCCTTAGTGACTTCTAACCATTCAGGCAATAAGTGGTCCGTATAGGTTAATGTATTCCTATAGTCCCCATAGAAAGGTACCTCCCGATATTCGGTATTTTAATGACTGTAGGCATATTTTCCACCGGAAATTGTTTGACATTTGATATTCGGGTTTTCTAATGGCTTCTTTTTCCTCTGGCAGAAACTTTCACCACTTTCCTATAGGGCCTCCATGTAACGAAACTTCCCAATATTCAGTTTTTTGAAAATTTTAACCACATATTCTGCTGGAATTGTTTGGAATGTAATTATTGGGCCTCCTAATGGCAGCTATTTTCTTCTTGCAGAACATTTTCTTTGTATGTCCACTTTTTCTTTTATAGCCTCCATAGATTGATACCTCCCGATATTCGAGATTTTTTATGATTTTAACAACATTTTTCCACGGTACTGAAAGTTAGGTCCTGCTGAATGTAGCATTTTTTAATTTTACCTATTTTTAGGACAGTTTTTGGGGATTGATTAGGCATTTCAAGCGAAGAGTTAATTTTTTTTAATTTATTTCCTTTAAGAAGGGGGGATAGTACGTTTTCTTAGAGAATGGTACCTTTTCTCCCAGAAGCAAAAATTTCTAGTATCGTTTGCTATCCTATTTAGCTATTTTCTCGGGAAAATCAGGTTTCTATTTTGAAAAGCTTCTTGCTATGGGTCTTGAAAAATACACTTTCTCAGCTTAAAATTGGCTTTTTAATGCCGTTCTTAGAAAGAGCTGCCTTTTTGGAATTTTTTCTAGAGGGCGATTATCTGTTCCAAATAAAAAGAGGGTCTTTGAGTATCCTTTCTTTATGAAAAAGTTTTTTTTTTGTAACTTTTGCCACAAAATAATTGCCGAATAGTACCTTTTCTCTAAGAAAAAACTGTCTTTAGTGCCCAATTCCGAGTAAATTATGTTTTGTAGATTTCCTCCAGGGAAAGAGTTTTTTGTTTTTTTATTTTTAACAAATTTTCCCAATGCCATGCTTACCTACCGATCGATATGATATCACTTATCACTTACTTATTCTATCTTCTTGTGCTATTATTACAGTGTAATATCATCTCATCATCATCCACATCATCTTGTCACTAAGAGAATACTAACCTCTGTCATAGAGCCCATGGACCGCATATTCTGCTCACGCTTTAACCAATAACCCAGATATTAGCACTGATTTCATTATTAACAACATCAACAGCATCATCACAGACTTTCGGCTATAAGACAAAAGGCCTTAAAATGGGGCCGCCTTGAGTCAATTGGAGCAGAATTTTAAGAATTCCAAATAAGAAACCTATTTCGTTGGAGTCCACGAGAAGAGTAAAAACCAAAACTCCTTCCCCTCCCCTTCAAGTGCCATTGCAACGAAGCATATTTATTTACATTTTGGACAGTACTTGTCCAGATTTTTAACGAAGACGAAGGAGGAACCTTTTGAGAAGAAGCAAGAAAAAATAATGAAATGGAACACTGCCCTTAGGCATTTGAGCTGAACAGACCCTTGCCACATAGATAGCATCATTGTTCCACATACATGGCACTTGTCTGGAATGTTGCAAGTTGCCAGAGACTCTAATGTAAAGGTGCAAACTCAACTACCCAGAAAAGGATTAAAAAGAAAACGGAAACGAGGAGCGGGAAAAAATAAATCATTAGCATAAACAAAAGTCAAACTCAATTAAAGCCAAAGCGTGCCAACGAAAGAAGGCAACTTTAAAAACCCAGAAACGAATAACCTTAAATACTGCCATATTTATAAACAAAACAAAACAACAGCAGCAGCAGGAGAAAACCATTTCTCTGCTGATTTCGAAGAAATTTCAAGGAAGCGCTTCATCGTCCATTAATCACCTGCCGAAATCATCTGCATCGGCGAGCGTCATCATAACGAGAAGGAGCACAGCGTCTTGGACTGGTCATTTTTTTTACATACATTACATACGTGTGTCATATTTTACGCCTGCCTTTAAGCTAAGCAACAGAAGAGCATTCATACACAACCCATCACCCCCCCCCCCCCCCAACCCCAATAAATTGTCGCTTTTTTTGCTCCGTAATTTATTAATAAAAAAACATTCAAAATTCTACCCAATATCTTACCCTTGCCTCCCAAAATGGCAGATTTAATGCGCCTGGGCAACGTGGATGTTGTCATCCAAAAGGACAAACTTGGCTCACCGATTGGCGGCTCAGATGATGGTAATTTAGCGGCCTTTGGTGCTGGCATTAATAATTTTGGTGGAGGCAGTGGCGGCGGCGGCGGAGGTGGTGTCGGCTTTGACATGGGTGATTTACAACAGGAATTGGATCAGGATGAGTTCGATGGCATGAATTTGACAAATGGTAAGTTTGGAAATTTAATTAAATTTTTTTAAATTATTTAATTGATTTTTTTTTGCTTTTGAAGAGGGAAAGATATTGCAATGTTTTAAAAGAATATTTTTAAGGACCTATGGAATTATATAAGGATATAAAAGTCGGAAGCAAAGTCTGAATTTTTTTTTATAAAAATTTTTCCAAAGGACTTCATGGCCACATTCTCCACTCAAGATCACAAAACATGAATATTTTCATATTTCAAGGACCTATGGAATATTTCTAAGGATATTATTTTTTTGAAGTCGAAAACAAAAAATATTTTTCCAAAGGACTTTAAATCCACATTTTCCACTCAAGAACACAAAACATGAATATTTTCGAAGGAATCCCTTTTTAGAAGAGCTTTTTAACACAAACCTTGGAATATTTAAGAAACAATTTCAAAAGAACCAGAGGTGTAAATAACTTGGATTTTTAAGAATTTTTTTCCAAGGACCTGAGACCACAAAATCCAGAATTTTAAAGAACATTTTTGCAAGGACGTTTAGATCGTAAATGCTGAATTTTAAAGGACCTATGGAATATTTCTAAGGATATTATTTTTTTGTTGAAGACGAAAACAAAAGCCTGGATTTTCTTTATAAATATTTTTTCCAAAGGACTTCAAAACCACATTTTCCACTCAAGAACACAAAACATGAATATTTTCAAAGGATCTAAAAAATCAAAAAAAAAAAAATGAACTGGATCTTTAAAAGCCTTTTTCGAAGAGCTTTTTAACCCAAACCTTGGAATATTTAAGAAACAAATTCAAAAGAACCAGAGGTCTAAATAACTTGGATTTTTAAGAATTCTTTTTTTTTCCAAGGACCTCAAACCACAAAACTCAGAATTTTAAAGAACATTTTTGCAAGGACGTTTAGATCGTAAATGCTGAATTTTAAAGGACCTATGGAATATTTCTAAGGATATTTTTTTTTTTTTTTTTTGGAAGACGAAAACACATGCCTGGATTTTCTTTATAAATATTTTTTCCAAAGGACTTCAAAACCACACTCTCCATTTAAGAACACAAAACATGAATATTTTCGAAGGATCTAAAAAACCCCCCAAAATAATGAACTGGATCTTTAAAACCCTTTTTTACCCAAAACTTGGAATATTTAAGAAACAAATTCAAAAGAACCAGAGGTGTAAATAACTTGGATTTTTAAGAATTTTTTTTTTTTTTTTTTTTCGAAGGACCTGAGACCACAAAACTCTGAATTTTAAAGAATATATTTGCAAGGACGTTTAGATCGTATATGCTGAATTTTAAAGGACCTATGGAATATTTCTAAGGATATTATTTTTTTTGAAGACGAAAACAAAAGCCTGGATTTTCTTTATAAATATTTTTTCCAAAGGACTTCAAGACCACACTCTCCATTTAAGAACACAAAACATTAATATTTTCGCAGGATCTAAAAAACCCCAAAAAAATGAACTGGATCTTTAAAAGCCTTTTTCGAAGAGCTTTTTAACCCAAACCTTGGAATATTTAAGAAACAAATTCAAAAGAACTAGAGGTCTAAATAACTTGGATTTTTAAGAATTGTTTTTTTTTCCAAGGACCTGAGACCACAAAACTCAGAATTTTAAAGAACATTTTTGCAAGGACCTTTATATCGTAAATGCTGAATTTTAAAGGACCTATGGAATATTTATATAGGATATTTTTTTTTTGAAGTCGAAAACAAAGCCTGGATTTTTTATAAATATTTTTTCCAAAGGACTTCAAGGCCACACTCTCCATTTAAGAACACAAAACATGAATATTTTCGCAGGATCTAAAAAACCCAAAAAAAAAAAAAAAAAAATGAACTGGATCTTTAAAATCCTTTTTCGAAGAGCTTTTTTTATCCAAACCTTGGAATATTTAAGTAACAAAATTCAAAAGAACCAGAGGTCTAAATAACTTGGATTTTTAAGAATTGTTTTTTTTTTTCAAGGACCTGAGACCACAAAACTCAGAATTTTAAAGAACATTTTTGCAAGGACGTTTAAATCGTAAATGCTGAATTTTAAACGTATAAAAAGAAAGACCGACGATATTTTTTTAAGAATATTATTTTCGAGGACATTTCGAACACAAAACCTGGTTTTTAACCCAAGGACCTGAAACCACAAAACCGAGAATTTTAAAAAAACATTTTTGCAAGGACGTTTGGTTTGTAAATGCTGAATTTTAAACGTATAGAAAGAAAGACCGATGATATTTTTTAAGAATATTATTTTCGAGGACATTAGGAACACAAAACCTATATTTTAACCCAAGCACCTGAAACCACAAAATTCCGAATTTTAAAGAGCATTTTTGCAAGGACGTTTGGATTGTAAATGATAAATTTTAAACGTATAAAAAGAAAGACCGACGATATTTTTTTAAGAATATTATTTTTGAGGACATTTCGTACACAAAGACCTGGTTCTTCACAAATATTTTCTGAAAGTATTCAATCAAGATCACACAAGGCGGATTTTTAAGAAGGATTTTCAAGAATCTCAAGAACACAAAATGTGCATTTTTTAAGAGTGATTTTTAAAGGATTGAAAGACAAAAAATCGGGCTTTTTAAAGCATTTTTTCGAAGAGATTTTTAACCACGAATATTTTCTAAAAGGCTTCAATCAAGATCACACAAGGCGGATTTTTAAGAATCTCAAGAACACAAAATGTGAAATTTTTTAAGACTGATTTTTAAAGGATTGAAAGGACAAAAAAATCTGGCTTTTAAGGCATTTTTTCTAAGAGATTTTTTAACCTAAGCCTTGATTTTTTAAGGAGACGAATTCAAAACAATTTTGAAAAATCTCAAACAAGTTCGTAGAAGTGGGGCATTTTTTAAACAGATCTATCAAAGATTTTAAGAACATAAAATGTGAATGTTTTCAGAAATGATTTTTAAAGGATTGAAAGGACAAAAAAAATCTGGCTTTAAGGTATTTTTCTGAAGAGATTTTTTACCTAAACCTTGATTTTTTTTAAAGAGCCGAATTAAAAAAAAAATCTGAAAGACCTCAATGAAGATCGCAAAAGGTGGTCTTCTTTAAAGGATTGAAAGAACAAATAAACTGAATTTTGTGGCAATTTTTCGAAGAGATTTTTAACCTAAACCTTGAGTTTTTAAAGAGCTGAATTCAAGAGATCCAACATCCAAAAAATACGAGCATTTCTGATAGACCTCAATCAAGATAACAGAAGTTGGGCATTTTTTAAACAGATTTATCAAAGATTTCAAGAACACAAAACCTGAATGTTTCCAGAAATGATTTTTAGGGGATTGAGAGAACAAAAAAATCTGGCTTTGAATACCCTTTTTTGAATAGATTTTTGAATTTTTAAAAAGACGAATTCGAGAAACCTATATCCAAAAACCTTGGACTTTTTATAGATTTTTATACCCTCCACCTTGGAAAGGAGGGTATATTAACTTTGTCATTCCGTTTGTAACATCCTTTAATATTCGTCGTAGACCCCATAAAGTATATATATTCATAATCAGCATAAAATTCTAAATCGATTTAACGATGTTCGTCTGTTGAAATCACGATACAGCTCACATTATTTGACGTAGAGCGCCAAAATTTAGCAGAGCAATTGGTATTGTGTCTAGGATGGTTGGTATTGAAAATGAGATATATCGGTCCACGTTCGGTATTTTGATGATTTATGCCACATTTTTTCACGGATTTGTCTGAAAATTGGTATTTGTAGGTCATAACGGGCCCTGTACGTGTGGCAAAACATTGCATGTATAGGTCCACGTTTTGGTATAGGCCCCATATAAAGGTACCTCCCAATATTCGGTATTTTAATTATTTTTGCCACATTTTTTCACGGATTTGTCTAAAAATTGGTATTTGTTGGTCATAATGGTTTCCAGCTCCGGTGGCGAAACATTGCATGTATGGGTCCATGATTTGGTATAGCCCCCATAAACGGTATCTCCCGATATTCGGTATTTTTTCTAATGTTTCCTTTACCCTAAGGTGGGAGGTATTAAAAGTTTGGCCCGGCCGAACTTAATGTTCTTTTACTTGTTTTTTTATCAATGGGCCTCAAAACCACAAAACGTAGACTTTAAAAATCTTCTTGAGGTTCTATGGAGCACTAAAGTTGGATTTTTTCTGACATATTTTCGGGGAAACCTATGAACTTTTTAGAAGAATATCTTTTTCTTTTTCGAGTATTGAAGGAACAAAAAAATCTGGCTTTGAAGACCCTTTTTTGAATAGATTTTTGAATTTTTAAAGAGCCGAATTCGAGAAACCTTTATCCAAAAACATTGGACTTTTTATAGATTTTTTTTTATCAATGGACCTCAAAACCACGAATCGTAGACTTTAAAAATCTTCTTGAGGTTCTATGGACAACAAAGGCTGGATTTTTTTTGACATATTTTCTGGGGGACCTATGAACTTTTTAGAAGAATATCTTTTTTTTCGAGATTGAAGGAACAAAAAAATCTTTTTGTTGAAGAGATTTTTGAATTTTTAAAGAAGCCGAATTCAAAAGACCCAATGTCCAAAAAACGTGGACTTTTTTAAGATTTTTTTCAATAGAACTCCAAACCACAAATCGTAGACTTTAAAGATCTTCTTGAGGTTCTATGGACAACAAAAGCTGGATTTTTTTTTAATATTTTCAGGGAGACCTATGAACTTTTTAGAAGAATATCTTTTTCGAAGTCATTTCGAACGTAAAACTTGGGCTCTTTTTGAGCACATTTTGCTGAGGAGATTTCGAACACAAAACTTGAATTTTTAAAGAACAATTCGCCAGCAACTTAAAGATCACAAAACCAGATATTTTGGTGCCTAATGGGCCGCAAAAGCTAATTTTTGTAAACATATCTTCTAAAGAACCCACGATTTTTTTTAAGAATATTATTTTTAAGGACATTTCTGGCACAAAATCTGGATTTGTTAAAAATCCAAAAACGCTTCTTTTGAGAAATTTTACAAAAGAGGACCTTTAGAAAG